CCAGCCCATCGAAATGAAGAGAACCCAGATGTCTGGCGGTGGCAATACACACAATTCATCCAGTGGTTTAAAAGTTTCCTGACTCGACAGACGCATCGATCGGCATGCCCTGATGAGCAATTACATACCGTGTGAAACGACGATTTCGATCGTGTATCGCAGTCTCCACGTTCTCGATGAGGTATCTGTGTTATTGGGAATCAGAGAGGAGCCCGGATCATCACCGATGAGTTTCCGGAATATTCGGTTGCTAGACCTTCCATGACTCTCCATGAGGCTCGCTTTCAATCGGCTCTCTGGTCGATCAGCAGCAGCGTTGTCAACGGGGGCCTCAGCCCGCGCAGACCCCGGATTCGGTGACCTCAGACCGGAACGCGGGATTTTCCTAAGGAAACGAAGACCCTAGAGAGCGTCACGCTTTCCGTCGTTTCTGCGGAGCTTTCCCCAGGTTTTCATGGAAGACCTCGAGTCCCGGGGTTTTTAGTTGTCGGTTTAGGGGAGTGAGTCAATATATAAACCCTTTCACGAAACATAAGGAACTACGTTGGAGCGCCTGTTCCCCGGTTCGCCCCGGCTGCGTTCTAAACTCCGGCCATAAGCAGCAGCGAAGACATCGGCCGTCGGCTGAGCTGGATGGACCGAAGTCAGGGAGGAACGACAAGCAAAGCGGGTTCCGGTTTATCTATACTATGTGAAATGACGCATGATAGCCGAGATTGAATCAGAGTGACAATCGCTTCTCGCTCCGCCTGATGGGTGGTCGGTCTGACCGAAACGTAGTGGAGACCGCGGCATCGGTCGCTATTACGACGACCAGGACTGTCCTCGCCGGCATCGCTATCTGCAGCTCTAGATTGTTGTCTTTTTTTCCCGCGTGCTTCTTGGGTTCATTCTTCTGTACGTTGGACGCACGTGACTTCGAGGAATGCTGTCATCGAGAGAGGGTGTAGACGATTCTGAACAAGCGGGAGACCATGCTGCTGAGCCGGGAGCAAGGATGCCGGCAGGCGAGCAAGCAAGCAAGCATTCAATCTTGCAAATTGGTTGGCTTCAGAGACCCCATCAGATCTTTGCTGTAGCTGCTTTTCCTGTTCGGAGAATCTGGTCACTGTCGGGGAGCCGTACGATGATGGAGCGGGGAGCGAGGAAACGAACGAACGAACGGACGAGGGGGAACGAAGATCCAACGAAGAAGACGCCGCCGCTTTTGTTACCGAGAATTTGATCATCACAGTCCGCCTCGTCGACAACAGAGCTTCACAGAAGCCATTTTGGAGGTGGATGCCGGCTCACGACTAGATGGTGAGGCGGACAAAGGGGGTTGGGTCGTCGACTGGGAGCAGCGAGGGCTAGATCGGCGGGAAAAAGAGGAAATCGGCTGGTGGACATCAGCAGCGAATAGGACGGGACGGGTCCTGCGACGCAGTACCGCCAAAGCAGGGCGGAATATGCAATGCGACTGACGCAATTTCACCATTGGAAGCCCGGAGAGCGATACCAGGATAGCTCCCGTCTCCCGTGCCTCGGGTTCTATGCTGGGATTCCTCTGTACAGTCGTCAGTGAGCAGAAGTTCGCGGTCCCAACTCCCGACAGAGAATCGTTCCGTCTTTTGGCCGGGGGGAACGAGAAAGTATCTCGATCATTTTCGACTCCGGGACATCCTCATTCCGTTTTTCCAGTCGAGGGTCCACAGTCGAGTCAATCCGTAATTTTCGGGCACAGGAGCGACTCTCCGAAAGTACCGCCTCGTTTTGTTGTCTATCGCCGAGATTTCAGGACGGATCCACTTGCACATCAAGATAATTCCCCTGAATCCCAGGCTTCGAATCAGTATTTCATTTCAACGTTTCTCTGTCGACATTGTCCCGGTTTATTTCCACAGAGCGGAGGAAGGACTCCGAATGAGGGAAAATCTCGCAAGAGCTCCGAATTCAAGGCGAACCTAAACTCAGAGGCAAAACACGTCTCGGACGCCTCTGTTCGCGATGGAAGCGAACTCGGAGAGGGGGTCGTAGTAAACTCTTTGGCTTTCTGGGAAGTCGCGGAAGACCCGTTGATGGAAGCTTCTTCCAAGATGGCTCTCCTCATCCGAGACATTGGAGGCCATCATCCCGTACGACCAATGAAGTCGCAACGCCTGTTCGGAAAAGAGGGTAGGCCCATTGTTGTGAGCTGTTTCGGCCTCCAGAGGAGATGCGTACATTTGTTGAAGCGAAGCGTACGGTGCACTTTCGCGTGCGAGGACCTAGCGTGTGGGTCGCAGAACGAACGCAAGACGACCGTTCCGAGCCGGCGGCCGACGCCATTCCGCGTAACTGTTGAGAGCTGAGGATAAGTCCTGAGGGACCAAGTTTTGCTCTACGGATCTTTTCTCCGGATCAGCGGCCCTATATTTTATTTGTACAGCTTAGCCTCTCGGACAAATTCTCGCTGTGTGCTCCTGTCAATGGAATTTCTCTCTATGGTGGAGAATCGTGGTGGCGCAGTGCTCCAGAGGACCGATTCCCCTCTATCAGAGAGATCATCGTGCTTCCCGCAAACATGAAGCGACCAAATATTGTATCGATACGGCTCATTGATGTTTGAAGTGAGATTCCTGCGAAATACGTGATCATTTGCTTCCCCTGGGGCATGGGGAAAAGTACCGAATGCCGTAGGTGATCGGCGAGGAAATAGCACATATAGGTCAGAGGAATAGTTTCTCGGACTCGAAGAATCGGACTCTGTCTGTATTAGAAGACAAGCCCTTGCTGTAGGCAAGAGGTCCGGCGGTCGAACTTCCGCATGTCATCATAGGCTTCGCATCAGAGTAGGAGTCCCTGACCGGAACGAACTCAAGACTCGATTTGCTTCAATCTATGATGAAATTCCACCGTGAGCTTGGGAGAGTGGTCATCGCTTGCGACTCGCTGGAGCAGTTCTCCGAATCATCCGGAGCAGCGTATTTGACGTCAGAGCGTGTGCTCGCCAATCACCGATCTCGCTTGATTGCTTCCCTGGAACTTCGGCGAACGATGCGATTTGTCGAAGCCCGAGATTCGATCGAATCTTCATCGTTCAGTCCGATCCCGGTATGCGGAGGAACCACTCGATGAATTCCTCCCAGCGGCTTCGGCCTTCTCAGCAAATGAGTTCGCCCGCGGATGAAGAGCTGAATAACGAATGATTCCGGCGCTGTGAAAAGTTTCCGTCGCTGGGATTCAAGACGTAATTCCCGGTGGGAGTCAGCTTTCCAGAAGAGAAGTCTCGCGCTGTCAACAGAGTCTCTGAGTTAGAGAATGAGTTACTTAGAGAATTGGAAAGTATGCCGGTCGCTCGAAGTTCTCTGAACGAGCTTCGTGTGGACGCCTGTATCGTGTGCGCACCTTGACAAGAATCCTTATAAAGGCACATTTCTTCATGAGAAGCGTCACCGCCTTGAGGCCTGTGCTTCTCCCAGACGGGGGCAATGGTCCCCTTCAAGGCCGCTCGACTTCAGGGAGGGTGGGGCGGAATGTCTCGTTCAGGTCGAAAGATGCCGCAAAGCTGTCTCCGATCGAGAGCAATCGCCATTTTGAACCTTTGATCTTTCCCTCATTATCTGTACCGATCGATTGGAAAACTCTACGAGATTCGGGAGATACGAGTTCAGCCCCCGCTTCGTGGATAGCCTTCTCTCGCACGGGCGTGCGCCTATGAGGTCGAAGACATGACTTCCCGTATCTCCGATACAGAGATACGGGAAGTGTGACTTCGAAAACTCTCACGTCACCCGATGACTTTATACGTGATCCCTAAAGATTGGAATGAATCTCTAATGGGCTTCTCCAGTCACAGATTTCTCAAAACTTCAAGCAGACCCTTGCCTCCCTTCGGGAACGATTGGGAGTGGGTCGATGACCCCGACGTCAGCCACCGCCACGGAAATTCAGCGAGCGCCTCAAGCCTCGGTCGGATGCGATTCGAATTCTATTGCCCCCTTCCCCTGCTACACATATCCTAGGAGTTTTCTCCCACATCGGGTCGTTTCACAGAGGAGACGGGATCGCGATTTGCCTTTATTCGAATATCTGCTCACTTCCCAAGCGACTCCGATGTCCAGAGGAACGTCCTCGGAGAACTCGAGTTTCCACCCGGAAACTCCCTCAGGAGGCATGTCCTTCCCACAGATGATGAGAACCGGGTCGACGACCTAGCGGTCAGCGACCTTTCCGGGACACATTCATGGAACCCCATTTCGAGGAGGAGCGCCCTCAGCCATGATTCCGATGGCTCTCCCTCCGAATCCCAGAGCATAGTTGCCCCATTCCAAGTTTATTCGAAACTTCCTCAACGGCGGAGCCGAGAGCCTAGTCGATTAGAATTCACGTCTCAAAGTCGATAAAACCATTTTTTATTGTCGATGAAGCAGGATTCCCGTACGTATTTACAGCTACACGATCGATCCTGTTACACTCACGATCGAATTTTATATAATAGTTATTTTTTATATACTTATATAGTTATATATGCAAATAGTCTAACAACTGTGATTTGGGATTCCGTGTCCTCAGCAACGGCTCTGTTTTCTGACCTGCTGTGAACAGTCGGCGGAAAATCCTGGGCTCGCTCGGAGTTCCTAATTTGACTTCAGAATAACGCAGCCGACCAGTGATATCAACTCCTATGCTAAATAAATTATGTACACTCAACGTCGATAGGGTTCTATGTAACTTGAATACATAACGGAGCTAGGAGGATTGCGGGCCTTCCTAGGCAAGGTTCCAGTGCTCGGTACCGAGTCCCAACATATTTGCTTCTACAATCGCGACAGAGTCAGTCGAGAGGATCAATCAACCAATCGATCAATCTCCCAAGCTCACCTCCTTCTCATTCACACGAAGTCCGTCATTCAGATATTCGCCATTCACCAGCGACCATCGTCTCTTCTTAAACAACCAGGTACCTTCGGAAAATCCAGCCTCGACCGTATCCCTTCGCTCTTTGTTCCCTGCTTCCACGCAACATTTACAATCTTTAGATAAATCAGTTATTCGGTCCCATATATCCGCCACCAAACGCATCATCTATCTACTCAACATGGCCACGCGTTGTCGCCCATTCAAACTCACTCCATGCTCCTCCGGCCTGTTTCAGTCACGCACGATTGCTGGAAATCCGCAGAGCGGTCAAATGAATGAACTACGCACGCTATACGACGCGCAGGAATCGATCCGTCGTCCGTCAATCCCACAAAGCTCGGGCTCGGATCAGACCGCTACACCCAGGAGAACTGCTCACCACATACTGTACAAAGGATCATCCAGGCACAGCAAAGAACAATTTGCAGGATATGAACATGCTCAGCGAGTTTTGGGTTGGGACAGGACTGTTCCCAGGAAAGTTAGGACAATTTCTAGACTCTCGCCGGGAAGTCATTTCACGTTTGTCTCGATGCCGTCTTTCTTCTTGGGCGGAACCCATTGCAAACAGCTCGGATCTAGTTTCAGAGGGTTGTCGATGATTTCGATTGGCTTCTCTTTCTTCTTGGAGTTCTTCCGACCGCTCGTCGCTGTTGGCGTCGTGACTTTCTGTATCGTTTTCATTATGACGTGCTGGCCCTTCCAATACTTGATCACGCCGAGAACTTGGAGCGTGCTAACGATATCGTAGGGTTGAATGGCAGTCGCTTGCGAGATTTCCCTGATCGATATCGCGGTGCCTTGGTAGTTATCAAGAAAGTGCTTGATGACGGATTTCCAATAGGCCCTATAGCTGATGAGTCCGAGATCGCTGAGCGGCTTTTCCGGAGAGCCCACCTTCCCTTCGGTTTTCGTGAGTAGATAACTGAAGTCGATGAGCAGCCGGCCGTAGCCTTGTCGTTGGAACGCCGGTATTGTCAGGATACAGCTGACGTTATAATTCAAGAAAGAATTTTTTTCTTTGGAGAAATATCCGACGAGATGGCAGCCGGTGTTATCGTACATTGTAAGACAGTAGAACAGAAAAGGTTCCACGTCGAAATACAATGTTTTGTGATCCAGGAACAATTTGGCCAGAAGACAGAGGTTCTGGCAATAGGTTTTTTGCTTCTCGCCGTCGACCTCGAAGAAAGAAAGTTTCCCGTGACGGTAGATTTCGTCACCGGGTGGATGTCTCCATGGGCATTTGGAGAGATGTCTCCGGAGAACGACGTCCGACGACATGTACTTCAGGCAAAACTCACAGAGGAAAAGGGTTTCCAACTGTTGGTACTCCTGAGGATAAGGTGCCCCGTACCAGGTCCGAATTTGATATTTGCCCAGCTGAATGAATTGGATCTTCGATGCTTCCGTAGACTTGCTCTTCACCTGTGAGAAAAGTGAATCAGAATCCCGGCTTGGTACACCGCTCTCCCGGAGACCCGGCATCTCGTCCATGAGGGAAAAATATTCACCTTCGTCTGTGCTGCTTCGAACATTTCCATGTCGATCTCTGGCACGACCGTCTCACTGCGCTCTTTCCGACACTTTTGGAGGTTCTTCAAGCGCTCTTTCTGCTTCTGGGCACGTTTCACTGGGCTTTCGACAACTGTTTTCGGAGATTCTCTGACGGCGAGTATTTCTACCTTTGGCGATTCTTCAATCTTTTTAGGGGACAGGTCTTTTGTATCCAAGTTTTTCTTATAGCCTCTCTTAATTAAATTCGGAGTCTTCACCGGACTCTCACTCCCTTTGATACAACGACCGCATCGCATCCCTGCAATTTGAGGTCCAATCATCAGCTCTGGATAGAGAATAAAGTGATTTGAGTGATGGATCCGGTAATTCCACTTTCGGGCGATTCCTATTTTGATGATTTTCTCTTCAAATTCGATGAGGTAATTGAAATTGATAGAATTCACCCCTAGACCGATGTTCGCTCCGTGAACTCACCTTTGATTGGTGATATTTGCCCTGGCATACATTGCTTGTGGATTCCATTGGCACACGATACGCAAGCATAGAATATATGGGGACCTTCTGGTTGATTGCATACGACACACAGTCGGCACTGAGGACAGCGCCACTGGAAATTGTCTACTTCGGTCAGCGCGGCTCCCAAACAGAAGGGATGGGCGCATCGCGTCTCACATTCCGCACAATAGATCAGCTCGGCAGGTCTTGGACTTCTCCGAGAGTCTGGCTGAGCGCAAATGGCGCACACCGGTAGGACGGGGAAATCGTCGGAGGTTTTGCGTCGTTTCGGAGAATCGGGCGCGGGCGAAACCACTTCACTGGAACGCTTCTTGAGAGCCGGCTCCCTGCAGTTTTCTGTGATAACCGTCTCCTTGACGCTATTCCGTTTCCGAATCTCGTTCGAGATCGTAGTTTTCTGCGCGGAGCGAGGGTAAAACTTTAGGCAAGGGCGCTCCAGGAATTCTCTGTTTTAGGTCTTGGACGTCTTGTCCTCCCTCGAGGAGTGTCTTCCTTTACTTTGAACATCACCATCCGCTCTTTAGAGATCATTTTTTCGGTCTTTCTTTACGGCTCGAAGACGAAATGACAAGTCTCATGTTCCAAGAGCTTGAATCGCCGATTTCGAACTTACTTCGAGTTTCTCTCTCTTCACGCCATTCTCGATTGGGGATTTCACCTCAATCTTGCGCTTGACTTTCTTGATCTCCTTTTTGATTGAATTTTCGGTCTTCGCAACAACGACGTCCTGGAAGCGCATTCACTCTCCGTAAATAGGGCCGGTATGATTTTCTACGATCAGTCTTCTCCGTAGACACTTTACCTTAGGCTTCTCCTTCACGTTAAGTTTTTTGTTCCTCGGCTGAACGCTGGAGTTGATGTGGTGCTCCAATCCGCCCATGCTCCCCTTCGAACGTCGGGAGACCATGTTTGGGAGTTTTTCTGGAATTCAAGAGGAACTCCTGATGAAATTCTCAGCCAGCAGCCACGATTCATTCACGGTGGGGAGCTTTGCGATTAGAATGTTGACTGACGGACTACATTTTCCCGCGTCAAATTTCGCGCTCGCTCAGAGGCTCCTCGATTACTCGAATACCACGACCGAGACTGACGGAGAATGCCGGAAATCGGCGATCTTCTCCGGAAGAACCATCCGACATCCTCTCAATCCGCGTCGATGATTCCTCGAGCAGTCAGCTCGTTCAGCTCCGCCTGTTTGGCGCCTCGCAGAGAGACAGGTCCTGGCCTCGAGGAGGAACCTGCTGCTCGAGAATTCCGACGCGGCGAATGACTCTAAGCTCGAGTAGATTCAGGATAAATTCGAGGAGAAAGCGAGAACGCTTCTGCACCTGTGCCCCATCTCTCACCGAGTCATCAGTTGTGACATTCGGTTCGCAGCCGCGGGAGCGCCGACGACGACGCAAGTTCCTCGCGGAGGCTCGCCTCCAACTCAGCTCCAAAAAACGAGCGGAAAGGCACTCGGTAGACTGTCGTGGAATTCGGTGGTGGACAAGTTTCACATCGCGGAGTCTTTCAAGCAACAACATGAAGCTCGTCTCAGAAGTCAAGATGGACTTTGCCCCAAGGGGCGGCGGAGCCTCTGTTCAAAGAATTTCGCTATTCTACTCACGGCGTTCTACATCAGAAACTTCATGGTCAACAGGAGTCCTTCGAGACGTCCTGAGATGACGCTTTCGTCCTCGAAGACACCAACTTTTCTGTTTACTAGTCAGATCACAGGGCCGCCATTTTCTCGCACAGCACCGCAGATGATCATCCTCCCGCCGCCTCAGTAAAGCGTTTTGAACGTTTGGCGCGCCGGAACCGCCCGCGCGAATTCGAATAGATCCCGCCCCTCGACGATTGGTCGCTCCTCGACTTGGACGGTTGTAAGCTGTAGTCGTCGTTCGGTTGAAAGTATGGTCGAGGCATCTGTACAATTATCCGAACATAGCTTGAGTCTTTGGGAGACTCGCACATGGAGTACGTGAGGGTGGGGAGGAAGTGAACGAAGCGGAATGCACCCTACGAGATGGCTTACATCCGCCCTTATGAGAGAAGAGAGGAGTGACAATGATGTCAGCGATTTTTGCTGGGAATCCAACCGTTATCGGGCGGTCTCTTCCATGTTCCCCGACTCCTAGTTTCCGGTCCCGACAACCGTGCTTGGCAACATAATCTCGCTCGATCCCACCTCACGATGAATCACGAGAAAATTTTCTCGTTTTGAAATTCTCCTTCGTCATGTTGTTTTTCATCCCATCATCGGGAGTAAAGGCGGAGCGCTCCGAGAACCCGTATTCGATTTGAAATCGATATGCGAATGTACAAGCGGAGGAAAATGTAGGAAATGTAGCTGAAGATATTATATGCTTCCAGAGTAAGAGCGTTGATTTGATCAAGATATTAGTAATCCGTCAATTTTTTCTCCGAGTCGCTCATTAGTGGGACTGGAATCCCGCCGCGGCCGCAACAAGAGCCGTGATCTTCCACGGCGCGTGTCCGGAAATCCCGGCTGCTTAAATCGAAGCAAACGGGAACACACTTGTTACCGGCGCGGCGGACGAATTCGGCTTGTTGTACCGCGCGTTTTTGAAAAGCGATTCGTAGGCTACGGAGCGTTGCTGAGTCGAGAATCAGAAAAGACTCGTTCTTGAATTGATGATGGTCCAGGATCGGTGGTCGTTCATCGCTCGGTTTCGAGCGATGGAGCATTACACCGAAATTCTTCAGCCACCTATTCACAGGCCGCTTAGTCTGCGGTCCGCTGTGGACACTCGGGTTTGCTCCACCAGCAACCCTCGCGATAGATCGAAAAACGATGGCTAAATAATCGAGAGAAACTGAATCAAATTTTACGTGTGTACAATAGTTCCATCGAACGGGTATTCTGATTACATGACCAATACATTTGAATGAAACCGTGATGCGCACAAATTGACATCACGCTCAATAATAGTTAACTAAGTAGGACGAAACGTAGGCGATTTCTCAACTCGCTCTCTTTCTCGAATGCGACCCGGAGGTTTTCAACGCATGGTGTCACAGCGTCGTACCCGGTCAAGCCCGACATAATATGGAAGAGTTCCTCGGGAAAATGGTTCAGGTCGACTCCGCGAGTGATGGTGAGTACCTTCCCGTCGAGACGAAGACGTTCTCTACGGTACCGATACGCTTGAGCACAATCAGGGGGGCGGTAGTTGATCACGGTGTGGACACTGGAGGAATTCATGAGAGTTTCATTGAATCGCAAGGGTGCCCGGATTTGCAATGATGCAGACAAATTCGATCGAAAGGGAGCGACCGATTGATTACAAACCTTTCATTCGGCCTCGATAAAAAAAGCTGCTCACCTATTAGTTGTGTACAACCATCGGTGATCTTGTAAGCATGCCAGGTAAACTCCAGGAATTCCGTCGTTAAGATGAGTTCTGAGCATCATTTGCTCGTCCTCGAGTTTTTCTTGCAGATTGTTGAAGCTGCTAAACGGCAAGGTGCCTCTGCAAGAACAAGTCTCGGCGGTTATCGATCTTTTCTGAGCAGAGTCTGAGCCTGATCTCGATTAAAGCCAACGCGGAACACGGGAATCCACCCGAGCTTCCTCTCAAAGGAAGCATTCCTTGCGGAGCACGGAGCCGCAGACCGACCTGTGAGCTTCATCGTCAAGTTTGTCGTACATCGAGTTGGTTTCGGCTTCATCGTGGAAAAATATCAAAATCACCGCGTCCCGGCTCTCTTGCCTTAAGGTAGATAGCAGGGCCGAGTACCTGAGGACGGATTCAGACGATCGTATGTGGCCACAATGCGAGATAGGGATAAAATCGCCCGGAACCTCGGACTACAGCGGCTAGCGTAATGGAATCCCATAGCTCATCCCGATAATCCTCAGGAGCGTTGGGGACTCCGAGTATATATTAAAAATACCTAAAGGTATGTACAACACCTAAATGAAATACTCATAGATATTATTCTGTTGCAATATGTAGAAGTGGGAGTTCAAGTTTGTTGCACAACCGATTTATGGGAACGAAGTTCTCACCGGACTCGATCCGGTACATCATCGATCGAAACCAAGTATTCCTGGCAGCGGCGTGGGATACGTTCGCAGGGCACCATGGCAGACGAGGTTATGTTCATTAGCTCTAACGTCTGCTCGACCTGGGTGGTAACTCTTCTGGCGGTCGCTATCAAGGGTACGTTGCTCAAACTGTCCGCCAACTCTAGGCACGTTACCTTGAATGAGAACGAAGGAATCGCACTTTCTGAATGCTCGCTCAGTTTTGTGTCGGGGTCTCTCAAGTTACACACGTCTGCTCTATGCCAAACACTGACGGTTCCTATTGGTCGTCGAGAGGCGCAAGACGCCATCCATGCGACGAGAAAGAATATTCTTCGGGAAGAACTACATACAAACACCGCATTTCCCATAACGACGTCACAAATCCATAAAGAGAGATATCGATTTGCTTTTTGTACGAAAAATCGTACCCTACCACTTACGTCGAGAGAGCTTTCCACCATGCGGTCCAGTCGATCGAAGATCACTACGGAGGGAGTGAAATCCTTTCGATTTCTCCAGAACCAACACAAGCTGCAGATCAGAAGTTGTTTCGATGCGTTTCGAATTTTCGACGGTGGACGCGAGATTTCTATCGAAAGGTGGTGGTAGCTGACCGCCGTCACCAACTTCGCGAGACGGCCGTCGGTGGCCGTGAGAACGACGGCTACGTTCTTGAGACACATGCTCAAGGCGACAGGCAAATACGCGAAGGTTTTACCGTAACCACGGGGACCGATTATAGCCATCGACTTTCCCGCGAAGAGATGAGGCCACACAGCGTTTTGGAGAGCCGTTCCTCTCGTCACATTTTCTCGATGCAGAAATTGAGCAGCGTATGGTCGCAACAGCATTATATCTTTGAAAGGCTTCTCCGGTTCTTCGATGTTCTCCTTGAGTATAGCACATTCAAACACGTCTGACGTGAACGAGTGTTCAGAGACATGAGGAGAACTCCGTGCCGCGGCTCCTTCGAGAACCCTCTCCCGAGTGAGATCTCCGCACTCCTCCGGTGAGGACTCTCCCTCCTGGAGTGAAGTTTCCGCTTCGTTGGGTGAGATATCTGCCCCCTGGGGTGAGACGTCTTCTTCGTCGAATGAGGGGTCTCGTTCCCGAGATGAGGTCTGCTCATCCTGAGTAGAGCCGGGTCCTTCCTGAGGCAAGGTCTCCCCTTCTTGGAGCGCGGACCTTTCCCCAAAGATCGAAGTTCCCAACTCCCGGACTAAGGCCTCCCCGTCGATAGAGATGGTTTCTGCTTCGTGGGCAAAGGTCCCCCCTGTTCCGGGAGCGTGGCAATCTTCTTCGATTGACGTGTCTGCGCCCTGGTTTGAGGACTTCGAGCCCTGGAATGAATTCTCCTCGCTCTGGAGTGGGATCTCTCCGCTCTGTCTCGGTGTCTGCTTTCCGTGGTTTGAGAATCCAAAGCTTTGGGAAGAGGGATCTACGTTCCCAAGCGACACTGCTTGGCTCCGGATGGATGTCTCCCCTCCGGGGAGCAGGGTTGCTACGACACCGTTCGGATTATCCTCTTTGCGGATCAAATTATCCCCTTCCGAAGATCCTGAAAGACTCCACACGTCGGCACTATTCCCGCCGTTCAAGACTCGTTTCGTTTCCCCTCCTTTCTCGGGAACATCGTCGCGCCTCAGCCCCGGGGAGTAGATCGAGCCAATGGGTTCTCTCGTGACTCGCATGCTCGAATCATCGATATATGGGTGAAATGTATGATCTTTGGACATGTTCGGTTCGGCCTTCCCCGACCCGAGGTTGTTGAATTCCCGGAGGAAGTTGAGGATCCGTTCTGCGAACGCAGTCCGAGCACCTGCGTCGCGGTGGAAAATCTTTATGAAAGACTTATTAGAGTTGACCCTGTCGAATTGAGATGATTCATGTTAACGCCGGGTTTCGAGCCGAGAACTACACTCGGCCATTCCAGCATCAGAACGTTGGAAACTCAGTCCGACAGATTCTCTTCTGTCAGAGGAACCACCGTAGGAGAAAATCGGACGACAATTCACCCGGGGCTTGGATACTACTGAACACGAATTTTTCGAGACAAATGTCAACCGGATCCCTCGGGGAGTCCCACGAGGGGTTCATACTCACGGCTGTATTGTGAAATTACAGTCGTCGCGGCTATTGCACAGTTTTCTGAAGACAATGGCAACGCGCTTCGCGTCGGCCGCGCAAACCTCTAGCACGTCAAGTCCTTCACCAGTCGCCATTTTCAGGTACGCTGCGTGGGAAAAATCGAGAACCTGAAACCGTCTTGGCCTGGTTCAGGGTTTATGCTCAGAGGATGCTCGCCCCAAGACGAAACACGATCCCACAACTATCCGCTGGATTCTGAGCCGATGAAAATATACTCGGTGGGTGAATTACCCGATCAAAATCTCATCAGTCACCAGGTCAGGCTGGCTACGTAGATCCGAGGCTCACGAGTTCGAATGCTCCCGTGGCCCTCCCAGAGGGGCGGTTGCTCTTCCCAACGGGGCTCAAGAAACTCAGTGATCCTTCGGAGTGACCACCCGATTTGCAGATCTTGAGCTCAGAATCCATAGTCAAAGATATGCGAGGTCCAAATCCGAAGGTAGAGGAACCCTTACAGAATGATTGTGAGATCGTGTTTCGTGTCGAGAACTCCAGAAAGCCTGAGAAAAAGATTCAGCCGGACACACTGGTACAGGAAGTTTCATATTATTCTACTTGCGATATGCTCTTGACACGCTATGGGGTATAGGCCGTCCTCGAAGATGATTGCCGGAGTCTGCAGTCTCTCGGGTGAATCGGAACCTCGGTCCTCGACTCAGTCGCGAGCCTTCAACGCTCAAGCCCTCTGAGGGATCTGGGTTTCGCCGGAGGTCTCATCTCGCAGGTTGACATCCATGGACTGCATCCAGATAATTTCCAGAGATTGATCATTTGCGGGCGAGAAAGGTGCGAGAACAATTGCTTTTGAGGGGGCGTAGAGGGATTCTCAACTAACCTGCAGGCTGGGGGGAGCTGCCTTCGCTATCATCCGGCAACCGTTAGAAAGAGCAAACGATAGGGGTAGTCCGTGAGCAGGAAGTCTCTCAGGAGAGCTCCTTGGAGTGTCGCAGGCGAGTGGGTCTCGGACGCCTGGGAGATCGAGTGAGTTTCCTCCGAACCGCAAGTCTGGTAATTATATGAATTAGGATACGGAAATGAGACTACCCCTACTTCTGACCGTCTTCTCCAAGCCGTGCTGTCGCCGAATTATGTACTCGGATCGAAACTCGACAACTAGACCAGCTGAAGAACACATACGGGGGCTTGATCAGAGCGCTCTCCAATCGACAATTTCGGGTCGTTGGCTTCCGTAGAACACCCTTCGATTCAGCAGCGTAGAAACCGCGCCGCACAAAAGAACTTGTGTTAAAAGGTGTCGTGAGGCGGAAAGTTTGCTGAATTACCCGTTGCCTCGAAGCTCCGCCACTTGAGAGAAGCAGAGGCTGAGGAAACTAATCGAATAACGGACTCTCTCGGTGCGCTCACCTCATTTCGGCTGAATGAGAATCATTGATGGAACTGAGCTCGCTGATCTCGACTTGATTGATCTCGGGGAAGCCTTTCTCCAGCCGCCAACCGGGCTGGAAAACGAAAGAGGGACTGCAGACAATTATGTGAGTAAACAAATCCGACGTTCTTCGCGCCGCATCCAGCCGGAAATCCGTTTCTCTCGTGTTTTGAGAAAACTTCTTCCTTGTCTACGTGAGAAAGATTCGAGAGATGTTTTGTTTCCGGGCCGATCGGCTGGCCCGCTGACAACCACTCATCGCTCTCGGTGTGTCGGAGGAGAGACTGAGTCTTAAGATGCACCGTGCGAAACCGATCTGAGCGGAAATCGTAGCCGCGAAGCGCGGCATAGCAAATCTTTCCTTCTTCGTGATTTTCGAACAGCAATTATTATCGAGTGAGTCCTCGCGAAAGTTGACTCGACCAAAGCACGATTCGTCTCAACCTGTTCGGTCTGAGGAATCGGGATCGACAAGACTCCCGTCCGACGTCAACGTTTGAACTTCAAACGACGCTTCGACCCTTTTGGCCGGGGCTTTTGCATATTCATGCGTGAATATCAACGGTTCATCTTGGCTTCTCAGTCTGAACAAGTGCACCAGAGACTGAAGCGATCGGAATCAGAACGCGACAGAGGTCTCATTCTTGATTCTTCCCGAAAAACTCCCGCGATCTAATATGAGCAGCAGGTCCGGGAAAATATAGCTTCGGAGGCAAGCTACTTGGTTAGCGAGGTTCTCCCGATCATCGGTTTTCGAAGACTTGCATAAAACTTCTAAAGGCTGAGGCCATTCAATACATCGGTCGGGCAGAAAAATCCAAGATACGAATGCGTTACGATCTCCTGGCGGGCCAAATTAGCTCTCACTCGCGGATGCGCGTCGGACATTGGCGGTTGTCTGACCCATTAAAGATGTGGGTTCTCGTCCCTCAGAGAGCCCAACTGCGCTACGCGCGGCTATACCGCGATCCGAACATGATTGTCTCCTCAGTTGATACCAAATAGCTTCTAGGTGGAAGCGGTCGGGTATCCAGCTTGATGCTGACAGTACACCCTCCTCCATGTTCAAAGAATCGAACTCGATCATTCGACTATCAAACTACATTCATCTTCTGTTCGGTTCCAGTAAGAGGGCGAACTGTTGGCTCTGATGTATTCTAGCGAATGATACAAATGGGACATGTCGTGATGCGACACCATAAAAATATCTGATGAGGTTCTCTGAACTCTCATTCTAGGTATGCTAAGGCCGTCCTCAGAGACGCTCTCCATACCCACGGAGCACCCGCGGAAACCGATTGGCTCGGCGGGAACCCGACAAGTCAAGCCCCAACTCATCAGATCGATTCGGCGAGACCGCAAGCCGAGGGGAGCAAAAGGCTTTGTCTCGAGCTCTAATGTCACTTGATGAAGCCCGAATCAAACCTTGTGTCGATGAAGTTCTACTGATGTTCGTCGGCAGAGTAAATCCAGTGGAGATCCGCTCGGAGCACGAGTCTGCGATCGATCGCGGCTTGGCAAACTTATGTCACATTCACAGTAAGGAATCTATTTCATTCTGAACTATGGAGAACAAAATAAACTCCCAGCATAAACACCGACCCAGTTGACATAGCATGTGCGCAGCCGCGAAAACCAAGATTCTGCAACAACGTGTAATGTCGCAGAAGTTGCGTGCCGATGTTCGCTACATTTGCTACCTAAGACGAGCCCTCGATCGAGAATCAAGGCGAGGGGTAGGATCGGAACGATGTAGATGCTTTAAAGATCTCTCTTCCGGTCACAAGAAAGCCGATGGTACCGTGTTGTTCCTGTTTGGAAGTATCTTTATTGGTTCACTGTAGTCGTATGTATAAATATTCACTAATGAATTTACATGAAACAACCATTCAAATAGCTTCGCCTAGTTCAATCCACTGTACGTTCAGGCCTTCTATTCTTTGTCCTATTTGTTCAGTGTCGCTCACTCGGTGCGGGACGTAAAACGATAATCGTATCCAGGCGACGCATTCGGCCCGGAGAGCTCCCGGACTTCCGCCAGAGGTCGATCCTCGAGAAACAAGTCTTCGCCCTGCATGAATGCGCCTAGACGTCTTCCCTCCCGTTCCTGTGAGCAGCTCGTGAGCGGAGAGGCATGGACGCTGCGTACAGATTTGATCCCTGAGGCAGGCATTCCTCTCGACGCTCCGAAATCACCCCCTCCAATTAGAAGGGAACCCAGACTAGAATTCGCTCCGTGAGCTCTTTCGAGACGTGATCGTGCTCGAGGTGCGGCCAGAACTCCCCGAATATTTTCGAGCTCTGGACCCCATACATATCGAAGATCTTGCGGTTGACGTATATGAATCTGAAGGTTAGACAGAGAAGGATTAGAAAATCGAGCCGACCAAGGTTGATGCTCCAGTCTCACTCTGGGTTTGTCTAGCTTCCGACGTAGACTCGTAGAATTCGAGAAACGATGGGCAGATGGACATCGAGCTCACCGGTCGTAAGAAATTCTATTCATGAATTTCCAGTACGTGGGCCGCAAGTTGTGGGGCTCGAATACTGCTGCGTAGAACAAAATTGCTGTCGACATGGAATACAAGAGCTCCGTGGCCCCCGGCACGGGACATCCATACGCTGTGTAGGTTCCTGGGGAAAAATTCGGGATTCGCATGAGTATATCATCTCTCTTTGCGGACCCTCTCTGTGAGGATTCAGGAAGCTCAAGACCTTCCGTCGTGTAGTGCGAAGAAACAAACTTCTGAACTCTGGGTCACAATTTTTGAAGGAGACTATTTATCACTAACCTTCAAGCGCTTTCCAAGAAAGGTAGAGAGCCATCGACGGCGATCCGCTGAAGAACATGGACAGACCTGTGGGGAAGCGTGTTCATTATATTCCTGAATATCCTGATTCCTAATCAATGACCTCAGGGACTCCGATACCGAAGGTATTGCGACTCGAAGGAAGACACACGAATTGATCTCACCTGCCAAACAACCAGCGAATCCGGCACTGAGAGCCGGCGCTTCAGTGCGGCCTCGCAGCAAGCAACTAACTCCCCTGTAGATCGCACTGAACGAACCTAAAATTCAAGGAGAACTCGTTTCGTTAATCGTAGACTCTATGCAACTGAACTCGACAAAACAAAGTATCTTCCACTCCCTCCGAGAAAATGGAGAAGAGCAGGACGCTCTCCAGATGGAAGCAAAACTCACCGAGGAACATCCCGAATTTGTAAGCGCCCTTGTACTTTAGAGTCTTCGAGACAGACCTAGTTGACAACATGTAGAACGCGGCTCTGATGAGCCAGCCGATCGCGAAAGGCCGCGCGAAACCCTGGAAGAGCTCATTCCATGTATCGGCTACTCGGACTGTCCGAATTCATCCGAATGAGGCAAACCCGCCAGAACCTTCTATCGCGCAGGTAGAGGTCTCGTACTAACCTGCAGCAAGTGTCGCGTACATGAAGTCTCATGGGGACATCGCGAGGGTTCCGTCACGGCTTCCGAACCCGCCTCTCCTTGCGTGTCCTTGAATTCCGAATTTCCTATGACGAACTGGAACATGCGCCTGACTGGATCATTGGGATGAGTGTGTCCTTTTTTACATAACCACAGGTAGACGCCAGCGCTGACCGCGAAGAGAGCTTTCTCGAAATGGGGTATGGGAGTGATCCAGCCTGGAAAATGAGCGATTCGTGGTGATTTCCGCGCATCCGGAGATCAAGCTCTAGAAAATCCCGGTCCCGAAACACAGCCGATCAACCCACGGAAGCCGTCCTAACCTCTGAACTTGAGCATATTGTAGATCACTTCGGATGCCATATTGCAGGTGTAAACAGCCAATTGTTTTCTCCGCGCAGGTCTTTCAACCAGAATTGCCAGGAGCGATGCAACGAAACCGGGCGTATAGGCCGTCGACAGCAGACTGAACTGACCCGTGACATGTCGTATGATGCAGAAGCTTGCCTGGAAAAAGAGTTTGATGACCGTTGATATTTGACACAAGTCTGAAGCGTTGATTGATGTGACCGATCGCACGCCAACTCGATCCGATCAAGCGTCCGGACAGCGAGCTGTGAAGTGCTCCCCGTGTGAGAGCTTTCGACTGTTCCCCATCGTTTCGCGTTCCTGATGACGGTGTCGGCGGTTCCTAAGTGAAGGTCACGTGACCTGAGGGTCGAGTCAAACGGTCATGGGAAGTCGAACTTTACATATTCGGTGGACGGTGATGGAAGCAGCTTCCGATAATGTGAAACCCTTCGAGTCGGATCAATTCAAAAAGTTTTGAGGATTCGGCACGTTTCGCTCTGATCGCATTATCGTGCCACTTTCCTCGTCCTTGCCTGTCCCCGCGAAAATTGACACGGAATCCCGTCGGTTCTCACGTTCGCCCCGCCAGATGGTTGAAGCGGAAAGTGGACTAAGATTTTTCAGAGTTTATTCTCAACCCGCAGAATGGCGACGAGCTAGGCTTTGCATCAGAGGCGTAACGTGTCGCCTGGGCGAAGCTCAAGAAGGGCCCCCCTACTCGAGAATTCCGTTTCCGGATTCTAATCCACACGGGATCCTTCTGGGAACATGAATTTCTTTGGGTTGTCACCATCGAAAGAAGCGCCTAAGAAACTGGTCAAAAAATTTTCGCTCAGGGCGAACGGTCTTCCCTCCCGCCCCCATCCCATCACTTACGCCACTGCTCTGCAAAAGCTGGTCACGATTCCGAATTATATCATTCACTTTTTTGTAAGGGGAGGCTTTTTCGCGTTGCCGAATAGTGTCGTAGTTTTTGCTCTTTCCCGAGATACGGTTTGGATAGTCTCCCGGACGAGACGAACCGATTCTCGTACGCCGCGATTCCAAAACAGACTGACCACGCTCTGGGCGGCCCGAGATTCTCTTCGGAAACAATCAGCGGAAACCGAGCGCCGAAACGTCACACAGAAATTCCCTGGAAAGTCGAGAACGCTCGGCGGCTTTGGCAGCATTCCTAAGTGCTCTTAAAGCCGCTGCCGCATTTTGATCTTCGTCTGTTTTTCCAGATTGTTCCCGAGAATCCGGTTTCCTGCTCTGATTCAACGCTGGTGTACTTCTTCGGAGGGATCACCCTTTCACTAATCAAGCAAGAGTGCTTTCGAACGGAGACATGAGCTCGAGATCCTCATCCGGGAAACTTCCGTCCCGATCCTTATTTCCATGCGGTGAGGACCGTGACTCTGTCTCCGGATCTCCAGCAGCGGAAGTCTCTTCTCAAGCATTATCCATGCATGGGTATGGATTAGGATCCAGGAAACTTGAGGGCTCTATGAGCGATTTCGGAATAGTGCATATGCAGAGCCAAAACTTGCTTACCAGGAAAACGCCGGCATTTATGGAAAGGAACGCTGATGAGGTCAGAACACTCTGAGCTGTTTTGACGATGTGTTCTTTATCGAACTTTCTCGCGAACAAGAATGAGGCAACGTAGAGCGGGGAGTAGATTTTCAGAGACTCCTGAAAAGATGATAGCTCTTTTGTCAGCTCGTTAGCTTCGAACGTCGCCGCCAGAGCTCCCGACACGGGAGCATTAACGCCGATGCGAGGTGAGAGAAACAACATTTAACTACCACTGCAGCGGAATTTTCCCCGATCGATTCCCGCGAGGCTACGGAAAATCGGATTTAGGATGAGGTATCATCCTCAAGGAAATAACATATGCGCATTCCTGTATCTGGCAGACGTACCTCGAAACAATGTGAGAAGAGTTTCAGAGCACTTTCCGCACAATTCACGTTCCATGGATGAGCGACTTCGTAGCAGTTGAACGGAATGCTAGAACGAAGTTCAATAGTGAGTCGAGATCCATTTTGGAAGACTTGTTCATCGCTGACCGGATATCAACTACATTCTGGCGATGAGACTTCGACGACAGATCGCGAACGACGGCGCGTACCGCCTGAACTTGACCCGAAAGAAACAGAAAACCCAGAAACTGAACGAGAAGAAACGAATCGAGACAGCGCCACCTGATACAGTCCACTCGTGAGCAAAGCCAGAGGTCTCACAATCGCAACCTCTGTCGGAAGCGCAGATCTCTTCGACGAATGACTCTGAACAGGGGCGGTGTCCTCGATCGATGCTCTTGATGACGGGGGTGCTTTGCGGAGCGCATCGCTCGTTCCAGCAGACGATGAGAATCACAAGAGCTCGACCACAAGTTTCTAGATAGTTCACGTGGGAAGAGGAATGCAAAGCGACGCATTTTTCTTTTACAATAGTTCACGTTCAGACATGAGATGAACTCTAATCCCGCTGGATCTTGACGCGGAATCTGTGACACCCGACGGCGAGCCGAAAAATTTCCCTCGATCGCGGGCTCTTCCTCAGGTATCGAACAGTTTCCGGATATATAAGCTCGTTCGTTGCACTGTCGCGCCGAGCGTGCGCCTGTCGGGCGACACTTGGGTACTCACCTATAAGCTCCGATCGGATTCCAGAACTCCTTACTCTGCACCGCCGGCATTCTCTATGGAAGCTGCTGCCAGTCCCGGATTGAGAATCGTGAAACTGGAGTTCAGAGCCGAACCACAAGCACAGAGCCGGGATCTTCACGAGCAGCAAAGGGTTTCTGATGTGTTCACCCAGTTCCGAATGAAGTTCGGATCCCGTGTCAGGGACGGTGCCAGAGTGGCCGGTCTTCGCCTTCGAAGATTCTTCGGTCAAGGACCTCCGCGCCAGAAGTGAGATATCGAGAGAGGAGGTGTGGGCGAGGGCAAATCGAACGGCTTTCTACGTTTTACTACTGTTCGCTCGTTCGCCATCCATTTCCAACTCGGAACCCCAGGCGTAGCCGACTCTCCGAGCGGGTGGGTGCTCTGGGGGTCTTGATAAGCGAGGCTGTTCACTTTTTGATCGATTGCTCGGCCGTCTACTCACGAAATTCCATGGCGATTCCCAGTGGATCGCGGTGCGCTCGATGCTCTCCTCTTTCGAGGGTTCGCGCTAAAAGACAGTCGGGGCTAAATGCTGCTAATGAACGATCAACGCGAAGAAGATACTCGAACTCGATGCCTGCATATCGTCCCGGGGAACCCCCCAGGTCGTCGGTATGGGGGAAATCAATTTGAGCTCGACTTCGGCTCGTGAGAATCATGCAAAATTTATTCCGTGTGAATTTGTTAATGTACATAGATATATTTCATCATTTCGTGGGCTGCCAGCCTGGGGGCGGTGGGGGAGGTGGAGGCGGTGGTGGTGCTCCTGCGGTCGCGGGTGCAGGCGCCGAAGGAGCCGAAGGAGGTGAAGGTTCTTCGCGCTGCTCAAAAGCTTTATTGTCTTCGCCTCTTTCGGGGCCGGTGGTTCTCCGGTAGGACGGATCTCGTGGACTCTGTGGAGCGCAAACAAACATTGATATCCCCGTTCAAATGTTTGAAATTCAATGAATGATTTGCTTTCATACTTATATTTGAATAAATTGCTTTCATGCTCATATTTCGAAAATCTGCTCCCGAGAACATCTGTGTTCGAACGAGCGCTACGATTCGACATTCGCTTGAATCCTGGCAGTCGAACTCTCACCTTGTAACCGAAATCGGAATCATTATCGTAATTTTTCGGTTGGAACTTCAGCGGCGGGAGAACGAAGCCGAAAGGCCCTCTAGGTGTCCCGTCTTGCGATGGGGGTTTCGCTGGAACCGGTTGGCTTGCCGGAACCTGTGTTGAATGGAGGGATGATGTAAGGGAAGGTAGCTTTGAATTCTATCGGGCGTCATCCGCGATTCCGTCCGGACGCGTCCTCACTGATAACTGCGGATCTTAAGAACTAACCTGGTATTCGTGCGAAGACACGGCCGGAGCGCCCGACGGTCCGGGCGGTGGGGGTGGCGGTGGAGGAGGAATTCCGGGCGAAATCGGTGCCGGCGCTGGTTCCGGACTCAGACCGAATTGACTTTCAGATCCTTCCTCGGAAGGTGGGCCCGGAGAAATAAACGATGTCCTCCCTTGATTCGGTAGTGATCGGATTTACAAAGTTATGAACCGTTTTGCGTCCGGATAATACCAAGTCGGGGACGGTGGGCTTGCGAACCGCGCTACCGAATTGAATGTCGAATACTGACCATCGGGAGAAGCGTTTTCGTCGAAGTAATTCATTTCCGGCGAGGGACTCATCTCTATCAGGTTACTCGAGGGTCGATCGCCTGCGGCTGCTTCGCTAACGATCGACGGCGCGCCCCCGCCTTGGGACGCAGTCACTCCCTCATTCACGTAGTGCACAATGTCCGCCGGCTTCGGCGAGTTTTGCTGTAAATCAGAAGGATGATGTCTCCGAATCGACCTTAATGGACGACCTACCATCTCCTCGACGGCACTGATTTGCGTTTTCTAGACCTACCATGGCTTGCTGTGGCTTCACGGGCTGGTAGACGCTTTCCTTCGAAGCGATGATGCTCGAGTACACCGTAAAATCATCTGGAAAAATGTTCATCGGCAATTCCAGCTATAGTTCTTTTGTCTCTTAGAATCTCCAAGAGAGGGCTGTATAGCTTGAGAAGAGTTCGAGCCCTATGCCTGCATTCACCAATATTCGTGATGCTTTGATCGTCCGGCATGGGAGCACTTGTGGTCGGCGCCGATACTTCCTTATGCCGAAGCTGCTGGTCTTGCGGTCCTGGAATACATCATACATACTTCGGTTCAGCTTCTCCGGGATTCCGAGCAAACGTCAGAAGCCTCAAGGTAAGGGGACGAACTCACGGTCGAATTCCTCCACGAATTCTTTTATCGATGATGCGAGGATCAGCACGTCGGTGATTATGATCGCGATCTGGATGTAATAGCACCAATCACGCTCAAGCTTGTAATCTCTGGGACCGTCCGTCGCATTGTTCATGATTACCACAACGGCCAGAGCGAAGCATGCTGAGATTCGGGAAAAAAAGTGAGCACTCAGAGTTGAGACTAATTATCTGACAATGGATGTGTCGCCGCGACCCGTATTTTCCGTCGAGCTTTCACTTTCATTTGGCGTACCTGCGAGGAACGCACAGCCGAATCTGATGAACAAGAAGCGCTGGCTCTGGAACGCTGTGAGGCATCCGGAAACTTTGACTTGACTGTTGACACTCGTCGAAATAAGTCTTAGCGGCAGATAGAGCATTCCGATGACTACGAGATGTAAAATCGACAGGATTCCGGCGACGAGCACTGTCGTGGTGATTCGCGTAATGAGAATCGGAAGAACGGCGACGGATTACCAGTAGATCGTTGTGAGTTCACAAATGAGGAGTTCATGGGTTAAACAAGGTCTTTCACCTCGCCGTCCGTCTCAAACTGTCGTTGACAGGCCCTATTCATTTTTATAAAAACCGACAGCACCGTGAAAAGTCGCGTCTGAAGGTCCTTTATCCCCAAACGCTTGAAATCTTCGCAAATCAATCACTTCTTCGAAGAACAATATATGACCATCGAGACGATTCGCGGGGATAATCTGTTCTTCAACGAGCAGATGGTCCCGCGGTCTGATGCTCATTGCGTACCTTTCTTATGCATTTTGAAATCCAGCTCCTCGCTCTCACAGTCCTCGATATACCGAGGAGCTTTGACGAAACAGAAACCCCACAAACCATATCGTCCGTCCTCGAAGATGATATCTGTAAGGGATCCTCATCTTTTCAGTGTTCGCAGGCGTTCCTCAGAGCTCCGCGTAAATGAGAGGAGGCATAATCATTGCGAAACCTTAGGCAACTGACACTCGTGCGCGAATGCGTCTTCGATAGGACTGCTCCCCAAGGCTAATATCGTCGTTGAAGCGAAACTTCTCAGCGACCGTCTACCTGGCACTGCAGTTATCTGCTTTTGCTCAGGTTCTTCAATTCTTTCAATGATTCCGGTGATTTTCCCTCCCACGAGGAGCCTACCAATCGAAGCTTTCGACAATAAATCGGGGGAGAGCAACGAAAGTAGGGACAATCGGTGAGTCCGCGGTCACCACAAAGACCAGGATCTCGAGCGTTCTCCACTTCAGTCAATGCTGAACCAATCCAGAGAGGGGGATATCCATCAGAAATATTCGGCCGGCCAGCTCCCCCACGTTCCCCGTGGAGTGTCATTGGATTCTTATGGCGGCGAAGATTGCCATGAAGAACTTCGGGGCTTCAAGGCCAATATTGTATAACAGGCCTGCGGAGTCCCGGGGAGAGGCCCATGTTCACGATCGGGACTTGGAAATAGACCGCTCCGATTCGGACTCGCTCTTTAGCACTTGTCCCTTATTGCGAGAGGTGATCGGATCGATTCAGAGATTCACTCACCAATGGGCGATGGACGATAAAATTGACCCCAATGATTGGTCGGGAGCACGATGAGGGAGAATAAGGATGACAAAAACACTAGGAAAAGCTCTAAACAACTCCGAACGTCGATGATCGGTTTCACCATCTCTGCCTCAACCTCCGAGGGGCTTCACAGAGGTCTCTCGGTTGGTCACACTGGCAGCACAGCACTTCACTAGATCCGCCGCGATTCAAGCATCATCTTCGCACCGCACTCTGGCAATCAAGTGTCGCGCGCATGATTGAAGAAGCACCTTTTAAAGGACCAGCCGTCACAGTTGAGCAGGACTCGCTTCTTATATAACACAGTCAGCAGAATTATTCTAAGGTCGTCGTCATCGTCATCATCATCATCATCCGGCATGGCTGTTGTTGTCGTCGCCGCAGCCAGTCCTTCCGGCTTACGCGAGGTCGAACAGAAGCTTGAGTTCATAGATTCGATAATACTTGTCGAAGCTTTCCTCCACTCGTAGGCGGGAAGTCAGCGAGGAATAGTTGAGAGGTTTGCGGTCCCCACGCGGATCCATGAAGCTGTCTCGATCAGCGAGCTTCTGGTCATTCTGGTTAGAATCTTACTGTCAGTTCCTTCCCGTGCTGATCTGGAATGGCGTCCAGTTCTCTTCGAACGACAGCCAGGAAGTCGATCGTAGATGAAGGCCGGAGTCGTTCTCGATCCATCGGTATGAGGCCTGAGGCTCACGAGTGGTCTCGGCTGATACGTATGTATTCGGTGAGGTTGCCAAGAATGAGTGTAACCTATCAGGGCGTCATGGATCCGTCAACCGGATCGTCCATCATTTAGTGGAAAAAACCTTTCGGCCGCGATTTCAGGTCGAGATCCCCCGATGAGAATAAATTGATGACAGGCTCGCCGGAGGCTCATCCGGTGTCCGATTAGGAACATAAAGTCGAACCATTCGTATCGAGGCTCGTTTCCTTAGAGACCATGGGGGTACCTGCCATCAAGCTCAACAGAAGAATCCTTCGGCGTCGGTTCGAACGTCGCTCCGGCCAAGATCCCTCCCCGCCTACTTCGCTAATCCACTACAGCGTGAAGTCTTCATCTAGACGAGAGCTGTTCTGCTCGTCCTAATCGTCTTCGTGTGGGCGTTGTTACGAAATGTCAGAGAGAGATTCCGAATTCTGGTCCTTCTCAAAGGATGGTATTCCCGAAGAGTGGCGTCGCGATTCA